TTGATCGATCACGTGAAGTGATATTTTTAATTTTGTAAATATATATTATAATAGAATTAATTATCCAATGATAACATAACTTGATTTTTAAAAACACTTTATATATTTGATTTAGTTATAATATATGATAATCTTAATTGCCAATAAAGTTAGTTTTAAAGTTTTTAGAAACATGAGTTAGTTTTCAAAATACACAAATTTTTTGTAATATTTTTACAAATTTCTTCATATTTTAAAGTATTTTATACGTACTCCCTTTGATTTAAGGGTGAATTAGCTTAATATTACTTTTAGGGTGCATAATTAGGAGATTAACATAGGTATAATAGAAATTAGGTGAATAACAGAGAGATAAAATATTTGGATGAAATTACCCTTATTTAATTTATTAAGGAGTGAGAAAAAAAGTAAAATAACAATAATTTGTTAAGGAAAATTGCATGGAAAAAAATTCCTAAAATATATCAATCATTGATGAGTATCTCTTCTTCTGCCTATTAAATGGTAATTGTTTCTGCTGTTCGTTTGAAAGAAAACCAATAGAGCTCGAAGTCGAAAATATCAATGGTGAAGACGAGATCTGGTATGCATTATAGTGGTCAACTATACATATATATTATAGTAGTCAACTATACTAGTATATATTATATATAGTAGTCAACTATACTGGTATATACAAGACTCATTAGATCTGGTATATATTATAGTATATATATCATATTAGTCAACTATATTGGATTATAGTAGTCGACTATACTGGTATATATTATATATAGTTCATTAGATCTTAGTGTTAAGTGTTAATGCAGGTGAAATTTTCCTACGTTGATAGCACATTTCTTTATATAAAAATATAGTTAATTACATAGGCCTTATAGCTAACTATTCATGTGTTAAGTATAGTTGACTATTGTTGGGTATTGTGTATATATAGTTAAATACGTAGGTCTTATAGCTAACTATCCATGTGTTAAGTATAGTTGACTATTGCTGGTATTGTGTAGATATAGTTAACTACGTAGGTATTATAACTAACTATCCATGTGTTAAATGCATGTGAAGAAAACCAGTAGAAATCGAGACCGAGAAACAGGTAATGAAGAAATTGAGCCGACGAAGAAACCCTAAACTAGTAGAGATCAACGAAGTAGGTAATGAAAATTTTGAATATAAGAAAA